TAAAGTTAAAGGTTAAGAGAGATATTGTTGGAGAGGTCAAGGGTGATTTTGATTTTGTTAGTTACCTGGTGGATTTTTTCTTTGTTCATTTGATTTAGCGGTTTTCAATTATAGTTAAGCTATTGATTTTTTCCAACAAAGTTTTTTAAAAAGAAGAAATTACTTAAAATTTTGAAAAAAGAAGAGTTTCCATTTAAATTCTTTAAAAATTTTCAATCTTCTTGGTGTCTCTTTAAAAATAAAAGACTTTTTTTTTTCCACTGAAATTCATTATATCATGGGATTCTTGTTCAAAATACCATTTTTTAAAATTCTTTTCGAAAATGCCATTTTTACTAATTTCTTATGAAAATGCCATTTTAAACACTTAAGAATGTACATATTTACAATTTGTTTTGCAAAATATACGTACCCTATACTAAATACTAAATCCTAAGAACAAATGGAACCGACTAAATCCAAACATAACGGGTAAAACATATGTTAAATCAGATTTTTGTTGCTTGAAAAATGGCAAAATCTACAAACTATTCAAAAATGGCATACTCAACAAATGCCACTCTAAAAAAATGGCAAAATCCGAAATTGATTCTTATATTAGCGTTTGTCAATTTAGAAATGCTGTTAAAATGTCAAGGGTAAGTTGACAATAGCAACAACATATAAACCGCTATTTTGTAATGCTATTAAAACTGAGTATTCATGTACTATGTGTTTGTTTCTAGCTAGAGGTCATATTCTCACCAAGGTGGGAAAAGTAAGATGATAACAAATAAGAGAAACAACACATGTGATTGTGACAAATAGAAGTTACCATTGTGGAGGAAAAAGTCATTGGTCTTGTATTTAACGACAATCATTGAAGCAAAAAAAAGAAAGTGTAAACAAATCTTGTGTACGATGTACGTAGTTACACATATTCGTTCAAGTAAAATTTTGGCAAATATGTTTACTAAAGTGCTTCCAACTACTACTGTAAAAATTAATTATATTATTGGATTGCGCCGTCTCAAATATTTAAAGTTCTATATTCATGAAGAGAAGTAAATACACGTTATATTGTCCAATATTACCGAGAATTTGGTTAAGAACGATTTAGAAGAAAGAAAAAAGAAGAATCATACATTTAAATTTATAATAACTAGATGAATATCCACGTTACACGTGGGTTTGTTTTGTAAATTTTTAAGAAAAAATATGTTAATGTTTTTTGTTCCCAATTTATGTTTATTTTTTGTTTGTTATTGTGTAGTTAATTAAATTAGACACATCTTATGTAGTTACAATTTTTATAGTTAGATTAATTTTTAACTCGAAATATCAAATTTTCATGTATAAATCAGATTATTTTTGTATCTAAGATCTTAATATTTTTTCTGTCATGAATACATACAACAACAATAGATAATATTTTGATACAGTGATATGTAATTATGTTAATTGTGTGGTTTAAAACTTGCCTAACTTGATTATAAATTAAAAATCTCTTGCTCTATGTACCCTCCTTACTCCAACCACCTCATTATAGGCTCATGATTAAACACTGGATTGACATAATTTGAACAAGACCTCAAGAGTTTTTATAGGAAAAGAAGAAAAAGAAAGCAAAAATTAAAGAGTCATTTTAGTCAACACTTTTAGATCTTTTGTCATTGCATATAGCTATATAAGAGAAATTGTCATGTCTTGAATTTTGTGATATGTCTAACTTTCAAATGCCCACTATTGACAAGACTTGCATGTCAATATTACCAACTTACCATAAGGCAAAAAAATGAAAAGAGAGAAAGCATATGATAAATCGTATATGAACCACAAAACATAATAATGAGAAAATATTTAAGATAAAATTACTAAACTAATAAGAAGATAAGTAGCAAACAACTAAACTACAACACAAATAAATTTTTAGTCATTATCGAGTAATGATAATTGACCATTAATAAAAAAAAATTAGTACAATAAGAAAAATAGAATGAAAGTAGGGCTTAATTTATTAGCATAATTTCGTAATTTTTGATTTTATTTTGAAGAAATCATTTAAGGGTAGAATTGATGGAGGATTTGATGCAATAAAGAACTTTTTTTTTTTTTCTCATTTAGTTTTGCTCATTATTTTTAAAATAATGTAGAATGACACATGTCATTTTTTGTGTGATTATGTGACACTCATATGGAGAAAGTTAGTCAACTTTCATATATATGATTATTTGTCTATGTAATCATATATTTGTTAAGGACCGTCTTACAAAATTATCAAGGCTTATACTAATAAACATCGAAGCATAACGCATCCAATGGAAAAAGTAATTTATCAAACCCGCCTTCTCATGCATATTTTGGATCAATATGGGGTGGATTAGAGTTATGACTCACTTCACTTTACTTGACACATTCTTTGATCTTTTAAAACATCTCTCACACTATATGTGTATATAAAATAAAATTTGCTTAACTTCATATATCTTTATATATATCGAAATCCTAAAACTTAAATCTATGTTAAATGAGACTCGAACTAAATTTATTAAAAACACACAACATTTGGAGGTTCTAGGAAGTGTAATACACCTAAGCTTGTCAATTGGGCTAGTCCGGCCCCACCTGACCTTAAATCCGGAAACCCGTATATATTTGAATCCGGTCCGAAAAAATTTCGAGTCTTTTATTTGAAAGCCCGCTCTTGCCCTAACAGATCTATATGGCCTTTTCAGGCTTCTCTTCAAGAAAGAAAAACAAACTTTTAAGTTTATAACAACTCTTGAAAATAATGACTATATATAAAATAAGCCAATGGAACCACTAGTATTCATTAAACACAACATAATTTAAAAACAAAAGTTTAAAACCAAATAAATTGTTTTAACTAATATCAAATAAAACATAAAACAAAAGATTTCAAACTACATTATGTTGTAGAGGCAAGATTTGTATCCGCTTCAATGAATTATAGATCTTCTTCTCCTACAATGCATTCTAAAAAATTTCTCGCATCAAGTTTAAAAGAGAAACAATTTATTTTATATATAAAAAATTTCGGCCTGATCCGAGATCAGTCGGACTAAACTTTTAAAACTCTTCAATCCTAACGGGCTTGCCCTCAAAAACTTGAGTTTATTTACACATATATTTAAATCTGAATCCTGTGTTTTTTAATATTAAAACGGGACATACCATAGACTTTTATCCCAATTAACATGCATAAATACACTGAAAACCCATTTGGTACTTGAAATCAAAATCTCATATTGGAAGAAACTTTTCCAATGCTAAACCAGAAAAAAAAAAAAAAAAAAAACCCATATACTGATGAGGTCATCAAGTCAGTACGGCAGTACCAACTCAAGAGCATGGAAGAGACACCAATCAGACGACCAAGACCATTGGAGAAAACCAACCCAAATGTACCAAATACATATGTGCTTCCAAGCCCAACCAGAAGGATTTACGCTACAAAACAACTTATTCCAGAAACATAACTCATCAAGGAATCACGGAGAAGTGGAATTGGTTCAAAAGCTTTCCACACGAGAAAGATATTCAAGTTACAAGTCAGCAGACTTCCAAAGAACCCGGTGGAGACTTATAATTATAAATAACGCCACTTCTTTATTAGATTTAGAAACTCTCACAAAACTAAATCTCTTCTCTAAGTCTTATAGAACATCTCTCAATGGACTCTTGTATTTGTATAAAACTTGGGCATCTCCCAATTCTATTAGGATTAGGTTAAACACAAAACCTATCTATATACTTTGTCATTATCTAAAACTTATTTGTGTATATCCTCTCTTATCTCTAGAAGCTTTTTCTTCAAGAGATAACTTCTTCTTCAAGTCTTGAATTATCCAACAATCTTCACACTTTCCTTATATGGCCGCATTCTCACTTGGGGCAATTACTCTCACCAAGACTGATGTATTTTGGGGTACCTCTATGATGACCAGAATGTTCCAGAGAAGCTCACCTACCCCCTAAACCGACCAGATTCAAAGGAGACACCACTTCTCATATTTTGATCAATTTTTTCATTATTGCCCAACGGCTAGTTTGCATGTATTGTATGATTTCTATCTTATTTCTACCCTTTTAGAACGTTAATCTACACTTGTAAGAGTTCTATACAAAGCTCATTTCGTCCTTTGTACAATTCACTTTTGAGTCATCTAAGAAATATGAAAAGTTGTTTTCTTTTTATTTAAAGAGTATCTTTGTTTAAACAGTTTGTCTTTAAGTTTTATTTAAGAGATTCATTTGATTCTTGAGATTAGTATAGTTTGTGTGATTCAAGTCTAGTTCTCCCGGGATTGAGAGAGTCAATCGCCCCACAAATTGAGAAAGTCAATCACAAACACCACCACCGCCTCTACCTTCGTTTCTATTTTTCGCCAAAACTTTGTTAATCAGTTCTTGATCACCGTTTGTTCATAAATTGTAGAGTGATTCCCAATTTTATATCATATATCCTCCTTAACGAATGAACAAGCAAACAAACGACAGCAAAAATTGGTCTAAATGGCTTTGGACTCTAATAATTCACCTAAAATCTCACACACAAGACTTGAAAACAAATAAAATTCATGGTTACTGTAAATGTATCTAGAATATCTTTTTATATATATTTTTAATAATTATCTCATTTTATGTATTGGTGTATATTAGAAAATTAGGTTTACCATTCTCCTTTCAATATAAACATATGTATCATAATTCTTTATCATTACGAGACCAATAACATATTCTTTCAATTCTTAAATCTCTCATCACATTATGAGTCACCTTAGTATTAAAAAATAACAGAAAATTTTGGTAAAATTAGTTTTTATTTGTCATTATTTTAATTTATCTTGGCACAGATTCCTATTTCCAACACGATAGCGCAATAACTAAACAATGATCCGTTATAAATGTCAACGTCACCATACACGTCAGAAATCAAATTTTTAAAGCCAAAACCAAACCAATAAAAACTCACCACGTGTAAACTGGCAGCTTCTTCTTCTTCTTCTTCTTCTTCAGTTAGAAGCTTTTGTAAGAGTAAAGAACCAGAGAGAAGCCATGTCTGTAAAACTAATCTTATCTTCATCAATCCTTCTGATTTTCTTCGCGGCGGCTGCGACTAAAGAGATCAGATTCGATGAATCAAATCCAATCAAAATGGTCTCCGACAATCTCCATGAGCTTGAAGACAACGTCGTTCAGATCTTAGGCCAGTCCCGTCATGTTCTCTCCTTTTCTCGCTTCGCTCACCGGTAAACTCTCAATCTATATTCGTCGTTGACTTGTTTTGAACTATGAAAATTACATTTTGGGGTTTGTGAAGGTATGGGAAGAAGTATCAGAGTGTGGAAGAAATGAAGTTAAGATTCTCTGTTTTTAAAGAGAATCTTGATTTAATCAGATCCACTAATAAGAAAGGCTTATCTTATAAACTCTCTCTTAATCGTAAGTCTTATCTCTCTAATGCTTTGCTTTAAGCCTTCTTGTTTCAATTCACATAGTTCAAGAATGTTGTGATAATGGCTGAGCTAGCTTAGTGTTCTTTAAGTTAATGAAGCTGTTCTGTTTTACAGAGTTTGCTGATTTGACATGGCAAGAGTTTCAAAGATATAAGCTTCTTCTTCTTCTTCTCCTTGTCCTGTGAAAGAGCAAGGACATTGTGGATCTTGTTGGACATTTAGGTAAAGTCTATGATAAGATTTTTAAGTGATTTATTCAAGTAAGCAAGAGATTTATGATCAATGTTTCGATTCAGCACGACGGGAGCTCTTGAAGCAGCTTATCATCAAGCATTTGGAAAAGGAATATCTTTGTCCGAGCAACAGCTTGTGGATTGTGCTGGAACTTTTAATAACTTTGGTTGTCATGGTGGACTTCCTTCTCAAGCCTTTGAATACATTAAATACAACGGTGGGCTCGATACAGAGGAGGCTTATCCTTACACAGGAAAAGACGGTGGCTGCAAATTTTCAGCGAAAAACATCGGTGTACAAGTCCTTGACTCTGTTAACATTACCCTGGTAAAGCCTAGTTTGTTATTGAACTCACACTTTAGCTTCACAAATTTTACATTCTCTGATATATTAAAAACACTAATAGGGTGCAGAAGATGAACTGAAGCACGCGGTCGGGTTGGTAAGGCCAGTGAGTGTGGCGTTTGAGGTTGTACATGAATTTCGGTTTTACAAGAAGGGAGTTTTTACTAGCAATACTTGTGGAAACACTCCAATGGTGAGTATTTTTCCTCTTTAAACCACCAAAAACGTTCAAAATGTTACAATTACCAACATTTAGTAAGTTAACCGGGTTTTTGGTGGTAACAGGATGTAAACCATGCAGTGTTAGCAGTTGGTTATGGAGTTGAAGACGACGTCCCGTATTGGCTTATAAAGAACTCATGGGGAGGTGATTGGGGAGACAATGGCTATTTCAAGATGGAAATGGGAAAGAACATGTGTGGTAAGTTCTTTTAACTAGCTTCGATTTTCGGTTTAGATCAGGTTAATTCTCTCCCATTGATTTTTTCCTTTAATTTTGGCAGGTGTTGCAACATGTTCATCGTATCCGGTTGTGGCCTGAGGCTGATGTTTCAGCGCGTTTACAAGGGACTGAGGCTTTTGGGTGTTCAATTTTGGGATGAATGGTTGAATTTGTCGTGAACTTACATCACTTGGGACTCGGGAGTTATATTTTTTTACGTGTATGGTGCTTAATGCTTATGTTTCCAAATAATATCATGGACACTCGACAGAATAAAAGAAAACTATTTCTAGATAATGTCAACTGTCAAATCTACACTATAGTAAAACCCCATGTTCTAAAAATCTCCGTCTAACCCGATTACTCACCGCTTAATCGCTAGGCCCATCTTCTCCGTCTCGATTAATGACTAATCTCTTAAAAAATCAGTCACCCGATTACTCTCCGCCTAATCCGATTAATTCCCGCCTAATCTGATTATTTTCCGCCTATTCTTACATATCCCGATTATTTTTTTATCCCCTTATTATTAAAAGGGAAGTACAAATTGAAAAATGGTCAAATTTAGCCTCAATTTCAATTTCAATTTTGGATTTTGTTCTTTGTTAATCAAAATCGACAAGGGCATTTTGGTCATAAAGTTTCATTAAACTTTAAGAGATCCGCGTGTTAATACTCGGGTGGGTTAGGAGTAATTAACTCTTAATCACATAGTCAAGTTCTTAATCGGGTTTAGCATCCACATAAGTCAATCTAAGCCGTTCAAATTATTTTGTAAATTTAGTTCATTTTTGGTATCTAAATATGAGCATATTCGATCATAATAACTGCAAATTCAATGTAATTATCTCTCATAATAACTACAAATTCGATCATATATTGCCTAATCCCAAAAAAATCGTAATTACTATCTCTCATAAATATAATCCTAACCATAACCAACTCTACAATATTCATCATTTATCTAAATATAGCCAATCATTCAATTCTATTCCAAATTCGAATATATTTTGTTAATAGTATCTTTGATTTTATGCTTTGTCTCCAAGATATTCTCCTAGATTTTAAAATTATTGGAGCCAAAAACCCTAGCATCCTAGAATGATATAAATATTATTGGAGCCAAAAACCCTAGCATCCTAGAATGATATAAATTTAGCATCCATTCAATTTCTGTGAGTCTAGCAAGGGAAAAAATCCAAAGAAAACAACAGTCAAGAATCAAGTCAGAAAGGACCTCATTGCAAAGCTCATCAAATTGTTGGATGATTGCAATCCCTACGTTGAAAATTTCAGGATGGCAAAAGATAAGTTGGATAGTAATGATGGTGAACCGTTCTACATGAAGATTGTTAGTGATAGGGTAGGAAAAGATGGAAGAACTTATTCCAACCCTACAGCGTCTGAAGTTGCAGCTTTGATTCCCGGAGATTTTCGTCCTGAAATGCCTACACGTGATATTATTGTTCAAGATAAGAAAACAGGACAGCTTTCAAGAATAAGCGAAGTTCATCCTTCTTATGTCCCAATGCAATATCCTCTCATATTTATTTATGGTGAAGATGGATTTAGACCAGGAATAGAAAAGGGATATACATGCAAGACAGAAAAACAAGCAAACAAGTGTATAAGTATGAGGCAGTGGTATGCTTTCAGAATACAAGAGAGATTTGATGAAGCACAGACACTACTACGTTCAAAGCGTTTGTTCCAACAGTTCTTGGTAGATGGATACACAACACTGGAATCCAACAGGTTATCCTATATTAAGTTTAACCAGTCTAATCTGAGATGTGAGAATTATTCTACTCTTAAGGCTGCCTCAGAAGCTGGAAACACCAACATGGGTGAACAAGGTAAATCAATACGTATTCCATCTTCTTTTACTGGTGGACCTCGCTATATGTTGAACAGTTATTATGATGCTATGGCTACGTGTAAAATGTATGGTTTCCCAGACCTGTTTATAACATTTACATGTAACCACAAGTGGCCAGAAATAACTAGATATTGTAAAGAGCGTAAACTTAATGCGGATGATAGACCAGATGTTGTGTGTCGGATATTCAAGATGAAGCTTGACTCTCTTATGAAAGATTTAACAGAAGACCATCTTCTAGGAAAAACTGTCTCTGGTAATGAATTGTTTTATTTTTACAGATATGTTTTATGTTTGTTTATTTTATTGCCTGTTACTGTACGAATATGAGTTTAAAATGGTTATTGCTATTTGCAGCTATGTACACAGTGGAGTTTCAGAAAAGAGGACTACCACATGCTCATATACTCTTATTCATGGATAAAAGTTGCAAATTTCCAACATCAGATGATATTGACAATATCATCTCTGCTGAGATTCCAGATAAAGCTAAGGATCCTAAGTTATATGAGGTTGTAAAGGAGTGTATGATACATGGTCCATGTGGTGCGGCCAACAAAGATTCACCATGCATGGTTGATGGCAAGTGTTCTAAGTTTTTTCCTAAGAAATTGGTTGAGCAAACAACAGTTGGTAAAGACGGATACCCAATATATAGAAGGCGGGAATCTCAGCACTTTGTTGAAAAAGGTGGTATTAAGTGTGACAACAGTTATGTTGTTCCGTATAATCGCCTTTTATCATTGCGTTATAGAGCTCACATCAACGTTGAGTGGTGTAACCAATCCGGTTCTATCAAATACTTATTTAAGTATATTAACAAAGGACAAGATCGTGTAGCTATCGTTGTTGAACCTAAGGACAAGAATACTGATACGGAGACTGGATCAGCAACTGGCAGTAAAGAAAAAAGTAAAGATGAAATCAAAGATTACTTCGATTGCAGGTATGATATAATATTCTTTAGTGAATATATCTACTATATCAGTTATATATTTTCAGTTTGCAATAATTTACATTTTTTCCCTTAATAAATAGGTATGTTTCAGCTTCTGAAGCTGTTTGGAGGATATTCAAATTTCCCATCCAGTTTAGGACTACACCTGTGATGAAGCTTTCTTACCATCTTCCTGGAAAGCAACCATTATTTTTCGATGGCACCCAGAATATTGATGAACTATTGGATAGAAAAGCAAACGAAGATTCTATGTTTATGGCTTATCTTAATCTGAATAAGGAGAATGAGTTTGCTAGACAGTTCACTTACGCAGAGATTCCTCAATATTTCACTTGGGATGGACAGAATAAGCAGTGGAAGCTTAGGGAAAGAGGTTTCTGTATAGGGAGAATAAACTATGCCTCCATTAAAATGGAACCAGAATATTACATGAGGATCCTTCTTGGGATAGTAACTGGTCCAAAGAGTGATGAAGATATCAGAACATACAAAGATGTTGTGTATGAGACATACAAGGAGGCATGTTTGGCACGTGGTATTCTAACAGACGATCAAGCTTATATTGATAGTATAGTGGAAGCAAGCTTATTTTTCTTTGGAGATCATCTTCGTAATTTCTTTTCTATGATGCTTCTGGATAAATGTCTTGCAAGACCGGAGTATGTGTGGGAAATGTGTTGTGGAATTTTAACGGAAGACATCGAAACAAAGAAAAGAAATCAGTACAACAATCCAGGTTTGTTGAGATACAATTTTTTTTCCGTTGGTTTGCTTGCCTTCCGTTTCTGTTATAATGAAATAGTGTTTTTCTTTTTTACTCCAGATTTAGTATTAACTGATGCTGAGAAAAGAAATTATGCTCTTCAAGAGATAGAAGATTTGCTGTTGTGTAATGGGAGTACTCTGACAGACTTCAAAGACATGCCTAAACCTACTCAAGAAGGTATAGATCATTCAAACCGTTTCATTACAGAAGAGAAAAATTATAACCGTGATAAGTTGCGAGAAGACCATGATGAGTGGGTTAATAAGATGACTTCTGAGCAAAAAGGCATTTATGATGAGATCATTGGTGCTGTTTTAGAAAACAGTGGAGGTGTCTTCTTTGTTTATGGATTTGGGGGAACCGGTAAAACTTTTATGTGGAAAACTCTATTTGCCGCAGTTCGAATGAGGGGTTTGATTTCTGTCAATGTTGCGTCTAGCGGGATTGCTTCTTTGTTGTTAGAAGGTGGTAGAACTGCACATTCTAGGTTTGGTATCCCTATTCATCCTGATGATTTCACAACATGTCATATCGTGCCTAACTCAGACCTTGCTAATATGCTTAAGGAAGCATCTCTTATCATATGGGATGAAGCTCCTATGATGAGTCGTTATTGTTTTGAGTCATTGGATAGAAGTCTAAATGATGTTATTGGAAATGTCGATGGAAAGCCATTTGGTGGTAAAGTTGTTGTTTTCGGAGGTGATTTCAGACAAGTACTCCCTGTAATACATGGTGCTGGTAGGGCAGAGATTGTTTTAGCTGCATTAAATTCATCTTATCTCTGGGAACACTGCAAGGTCCTCACTTTGACAAAGAACATGCGTCTTATGGCTAATGATTTGGATAAAGATGAGGCAGAGAAAATTAAAGAATTTTCTGATTGGCTCTTGGCCGTTGGTGATGGTAGAGTTTCAGAGCCTAATGATGGTGAAGTTCTCATAGATATTCCAGAAGATTTACTGATTAAAGATGTAAATGATCCTATTGAAGCTATTATCAAAGCAGTTTACGGAGAATTGGATTTGTTGCAGCCTAATAATGATCCTAAATTCTTTCAAGAGAGAGCTATATTGTGTCCAAGAAATAGTGATGTCAACACCATCAACGACATCATGCTTGAGAAACTTAATGGTAAGAATTACGTTTTAATACTATAATCTTTAACTGTATATGTATAAGAAACTTATCTAACAAATTTTCCCTAAACAGGTGAAACAATGACTTATTTAAGTGCAGACGATATTGATCCTCAGGATGGTGCTTCATTGAACAATCCTGTCTTCACACCTGATTTCCTCAATAGTATCAAGCTTTCTGGTTTGCCAAATCACAGTCTCAGTCTCAAGATTGGTGCACCGGTTATGTTACTGAGGAATATTGATCCAAAAAATGGTCTATGTAATGGTACTAGATTGCAGATAACGCAGATGGGTAATCATATACTTGAAGCCAAAGTGATTACTGGAGATAGAATCGGAGACAAAGTGATAATCCCTAAATCTCAGATATCACCTTCAGATACCAAATTGCCTTTTCGCATGAGGAGAAGACAGTTTCCAATATCTGTGGCTTTTGCAATGACAATAAACAAAAGCCAGGGACAATCACTTAAAGAGGTAGGGATTTATCTTCCTAGACCAGTATTTTCTCATGGCCAGCTGTATGTTGCCTTATCAAGAGTCACTTCCAAAAAAGGTTTGAAAGTTCTTATTGTGGATAAAGAAGGAAAAACTCAGAGTCAAACAATGAATGTCGTCTTCAAAAAGATCTTTCAGAACCTAAGGAATTAGGATAGTTTTAGTTTTTTTGCTTCTGATATTTAACTTTGTAGATGTTTTGTATTGTTTTTTAGAACAGCAAGTTCCTTTCCATAGTCATTTTAATCCAAACATAATCAGACTCTCTGCAACTACAGTAGTGTAAGTTTAAGAGTTCATTTCTAGACAACAAAATCAAGAAACCTTAGTTCAATTATAACTCCGATTGAGACAAACAACAACTTCAATTTGTGTCTACAACTGAAAAAACAGATCCAAAACTAACCTTATAGAAATGACAATTGCTTTAAGTGTTGTCGATTTGCAAAATTTGATCTGCAAATGGTTTCATTCATCCTCTGTTCTTCACTGATCCCCTCTCCCAGATTTCTAACAGAAACAAATTCATCATCTCAAGTGCTTTATCCGAATCCTATATGAAATCTGAAAAAGGTAATTGATCACAGAATCTAAATTATCTTGAAACAATTCAATTGAATTAGAATGAAGCTTACATCATAAGAAGAATTGGCGCAGAGATGTGAGCTTATGATCTGATTATCAGCTTCTTCGGTATCATCGGTAAAGCTTAAGCATGTCAATGGGTGTTAACTTTCGGTGGAGAACGAGAATCATCGTTCTCATATGTTTTTTTTTTGTTTTTTTTTGTTTTTTTTATTTATTTAAATACACAACTTATGTGTCTTTAATTTTTTAAAAAACATAATTTTAATTTTATTTGTTTACTTTATCTTCAATTTTTTAAAAATTTTTAATAAATGTTAGAATCTTTGTTATGCTAAAAACAAATTCTCTTCAAAACTATATAGTAAAAGAACACTTATAATCACAAAAACAATTACACCACTTTTACTATTTCACATTTTAATATCTACTTTTACTTATATTAACATTACAAACCCATTTTATAATTAATACACCTATTTAAATATATTAAATCACATTCTTCTAAGTATTAAATAACAACCAACCAATTAAAATACCACTTATTAGTTAAAAATGATTTAATTTAAAAACCAATTTTATAAATTATGTATATAAAACATAATCAACTACTTAATAAGAAAACCGCACAAAATCTACGCCCGCGGGATACCGCGGGTTAAATCCTAGTTGCAAGTATAAAACAACTCTTTTTTTTGTTATTTAAACATTTGAATTGGAAGTTTGTGATGTTTTACAATAATTTATGTTCAAATTTTTAATAAAAGTCATAATTTTTAATAAAAAAATCATTAAAATTTGCTTTAAAATATTTTTTTTTTGTGTTTATTACAATTTTGGAAATAATATTAGATTAATATATTTTTAAAATATTAAAATAACTCTAAAACTAATCCATGATTAATCCCCGATTTTAATCCGATTTTCCGATTAATCGCTAGGCCCATACCGAACGTCCGACTAGCGCCTAACGATTTTTCAAACAAGGGTAAAACCTCTATAAATTTAATTATAAACCTCTATAAAATAAATAAATCTATAAACTAGAAAAAATCTCTATAAGTTATGTAATATTTTTGTTGTTTTAGTTCATTATAATTTAAACACTTTTGTCTATTTTCATATGTGATGGTGAATAATGCTCTATAAGGAGTATGAAACCCATCATTCAAAAATGCAAAAACTTGTATTCAAAATCTAATTCCATAGGAATGATAAAGGTCAAAGTTAAAAATGCATCATATAACGTTTTGGGAAATAATGTTATACATTTATCTTAATTAGATTCTTTTTTTTTTTTTTTTGACAGCAAAAGTCATCTTAATTAGATTCAAAAACTTAATACTAATAAATACCTAACTCAAAAATCACCAATAAATAAATAATAACTCAATAACATAAATAAATAACGCGCTAAAATAATTTATTAATAGCAAGATATAACGCGTTTGACTAAATAACTAATACATTGACCTTGAATATAATGTTTTTAAAATTTATTACCTAAAAACATAAGATTGATTTTTGTTTTGACTGTAAAATTGATACTATTGACAAAACAATACTGAAATTTTGGATATAAATACATCATACCAGTTCTTTCTCCCTCTCATCAACATAAGTTTTTTTTTTTGTTAAAGACATCAACAACAACATAAGTTTCATGCCTTTCTTTTAGTTCTTACAAAAAAAAAAAGAGATTAACCGAAATAATTCAATTTCAAGAGATATACAATGTTGGTTATTCAACTGTAGCTTTTGATTGACTCCAATATTAAAACTTATTAGCTGAGGTACCCTACCTGCATCTCTTCAAATTTTCTTAGGCAAAGTTTCAAGTTTTTTTTTGTTTCTTTTTTTTTTTTTAACATAATTTTCTTATACATAAAAAAAGGATTCATAAAACACATACACCGTTGTATATAAATACGAAAGCCATCATTTGTGTGACATTTTTATTTATTAAAAATTGAAATTAAAGTTTCAAAATCTCAAAAAAATAATTCATTGTTACAATTTTCCACATGTCTAAATTTGAAGTTTGTTTTCTCTAGTTACCTTTGATTTGATGTTTTCTACATATATATAATCTGTATTTAGCTTATTTTGTATATCTATCTGTTTCATTTAGGCTTTAACCCTAGTAAAAAGACTAATATCCAACGTACGAAAACTACATGCAATTAGTACAAAATCCTAATTATCGATTTCAATGTCGTACATGTTAGAACATCTTTGAAAGTTCCATAATGTGGATTCACAAATTGCTTCTAGTTATATCGTATGTTGGATATTGGTTTATCTATTAGGGCCAGATATAATATAAATACATATATATATATATATATATATATATATATATATATATATATATATATATGCAAAAATAAGCAAAAAAATGTCCCATATATTTTTGCATATATGGAACATCTCTTTGCTTATTTTTTCATAGCTATTTATTTATATTATATCTATATATATATAGGAGAGTGACAAGTGTGTATAACAAATAAACTTCCAGATCCGAGTTCAATTTTTTCTGGAAACAGAAAACATATTTGTGAGAGAACTCTATCAGTTGGACTTTCGCCCAATTGGTTTATCTGGTAGTTATAAATGTAGACAGCCTAACTACCCCATGACATTAGTTGGAAAGCACTTCAAACTCGGATAAGGCAGTGTGGGGGTCCAATTCTATATCTCATGGATCTTATGACCCGTTCGACCCGAATCCGCTCAGAGTTCATAGTATCTGTAAAATCGTTGAACCGTTGAATTGCAAGAGTAGTCTATTTTGTAGCACTTTAGTGCTTTTCTACCGGGGTCGGCCAGATCAGCTGATAGAATTTATAAAAAAAAATAATAACGAGAAATTTAGGATTCTTAAAAGCATTTTTTAGAATGATTCATAACCGTTGAAAAATGTCATTTAAATCATCAGGTTACCATTTTTGTTTGTTTAAATCATGAACTCTAGACTTGGTGATTTAAATCCTTAATTTTATGTTGATTTTCATTTTAATCATGAATTCTCATTGACAAAGCTAATTGAGCCACATTGCTACCCGACTCAAAAATTCGCATTGATAAATATTTTATATTAAAATTCCGTGCAACGCGCGGATATATAATCTAATAAAAGATAATGATACAAAACACAACAATTCAAAACATTTTTTAAGGTAAGGGAGTCTATTCGAGAGACAGCAACAAATTTCGTGCTTGGGAGACAAAACCACGATCTCTCAATTAAATCATAAACCGACCATATTAATCCAACGGCTTATATCTTTATACGTGGCGAGATCGTAACACAACAGATCATACTAGAAAGTATAAAAGTAACAAAACATACGATACGATACGATACGATACGATTCTGTGAGAGAAGAGAAGAAGACAAAGACGCAAGTTAGGTGAGTTTGGTTCGTGTACATGTTACCACACTGGAACTTAACCCGGACGTATTGCAGTAAACTAAACGGATTTAATAAATCGGCTTTTGTTCCGGTTCTCTGTAAAATCGATTTCTTTCGTCTCCTTTGTCAAAAAAAAAGCCGAAAACTGGGAAATTTGTCGGCGTTGTTTGAATCTTGTAGAGCACTGAAATTTTTTCCAATTGATTTATAAGTTTTTTGATGATTTGATATGCAGTATCCGATCTCTGGGTAAATTGTTCAACTTCATCGAATTTTGCTGTTCTTGGATTTGATTTTGGAAATCGGTGAAGGAGAAATTGATTATCTCTTTGTTTGTTTTAGATCGGCTGCTCTATGGACACTGTACGCTGTGAATTTTCCGGTGTGATTTGAATTGACTCGTCGTAGTGAGGGTTTAAGAGATGGATTTGGTCTCTAGTTGCAAGGTATTGATGTTGATTTTTTTTTACTATGTACTGGTTTTAAAATGATTGTGACGGGTTGATAAAGATTTATTCGTCCTGAAAATTTGATTTTAGAAAATGATGCTTTTGAGTTTCTGGAAGCTCAAGTTTTATGTTGATGTATTTTTGTCAGGAGAAACTTGCGTATTTTCGGATAAAAGAGCTTAAGGATGTGCTTAATCAGCTGGGACTTTCTAAACAGGGAAAGAAGCAGGTTAATATTTTTCACTTGCTATGGTTATGGTTATTATCACCTCATAGACGATAATGTTGTCATCAATTGTAACGGAGTTGTTAATAGTTAATTTCTTGTTTATCTATGTACTTGGCAAAGAGGGTTGTTTGTTTCATTTGAAATTAGTAGTTTTTTTCTTTTTACTGGTTATACTGGTTAGGTATCTAATCTTGTATTCTTCTATAGAAGATTATAGTTTAGCTATCAGGAAATTTTATTAAGTTCATAGGCTACCGTTAAGTGGGATTCTAGTTTGGTTTGTCATTGATGTGAACTTTAATGTCGTTGTTTGGTCATTTCCTTGTGTAGGACCTTGTCGAGCGGATCTTGATCATTCTTTCTGATGAGCATGGTATATTGCGCACTTGTGTTTATTTATTGCACACTTGTGTTTGTGAACTGTAATCAAAGGAAATTTTGAGTGTTCTGATAAGCGTTCTCTATTACTTACTGCCTACTGACAGCGGCCAGGTTGTGGTCTAAAAAGGATGCTGTGGCAAGGGAAAAGGTCGCAAAACTAGTGGAGGATGCATATAGGTGAGTGTATGTTTTAGCCATGGATTGCTTATGACTTGCTAAGTTTTCTTCTTGTGCACAGTGATTTACTTTTTGTTTTAGCGCAATAATTTTGTGTTTTCCGTAGGAGAATGCAAGCATGTGGGGCAAGTGACGTAGCGTCAAAAGGACAAGTTAGTTCAGATATCAGTACTTTTAAAGTTAAGGGAGAACTTGAAGATCACTTTCAACCAGAAACTAAAGTTCGGTGTCTTTGTGGAAGCTCACTAGAGACAGAGTCAATGATACAGGTAAGTCTGTGACCAAATATTCGTCTCAACTCTCAACTCCTGTTTGAGTTAGCACTACCTATTGGTGTATTATGGATAACTAAAATGTTACCTTCTGGGTTCAATAAACGATTTTGTGAATTTCAGTGCGAGGATCCGAGATGCCATGTCTGGGAGCATGTTGGTTGTGTCATTATCCCGGAGAAGCCTATGGAAGTTCATCCACCTCTTCCTGAATCATTTTACTGTGAAATCTGCCGACTTACCCGTGCTGACCCGTAAGATGCTCATGAACTTCCCTTTTTCTCCTGGTTGGAGTAAAATTTTATTTGTATTTCTTCTTGATGCAGACAATTCTGTTTTTAAAGAACATGAAAAGGGTGGATTCACTTAAACATGCCACTTTTTTTTTGCTCTGTGTTCTGATTTTATTCATATATGTCCAGCAATGTTTTCAATACTTTCTCTGTTGCGAAAATTGAATGTTATATTTAGGTTTACCATGTTATGACATAATTTTAGTTTTAGCGTCTTACATGGTCTTTTGTGTGCAGATTTTGGGTCACAATGGCGCATCCATTGTATCCGGTGAAGATGACTGCAATGACGATCCCAACTGATGGGTAAGTACATCAAGTCTTTTGTTGTAGCTATCCTATTTCGATTTCTGTACTTATTAGTTTGGAAGGCGGGAGCACTTCCGCTTGACATTAAAATACATTACTTCCATCCTGCAGTTAAATTAGTTTTATTGCATGCAATCTCTAATTATCATCTGCTTTGTGCATCTGTGTTTTCTGGGGAGGGAAGAAGCTTAGATTTAAGTCTTACGGTCGGCATACTGTTTGTGGATGTGGGGTTGATTTCAATTAAGGGATGAGGTGAACCGTAGTCGCTTAGCTTTATGAGCTGGGACCGATGTTTTATTTTAGTATTTAGAGAAAAAGAATATGGCTGTTTCCTAGCCATATTCACAACAACTTCTTAAACTTTATGATAACTGATGTGTGTTCTTCTAATACTCCGACACAATTTTCAGTTCAAACCCAATGCAGAGTGTGGACAGAACATTTCAAATAACAAGGGCAGACAAAGACTTATTGGTGAAACATGAGTACGATATTCAGGTTGTTGGTTTTATAAGTAGGTTAGATATGTAGACTACTTAGACGGGTGTGTTTTCTAATTGGCAGTTCAATTTGTTTTGTTTTCAGGCTTGGTGTATGCTCTTGAATGACAAAGTTCTATTTAGGATGCAGTGGCCTCAATATGCAGATCTGCAAGTCAATGGTATGTATCTGAGTCAAATCCATAGTTAAGGCTGATATGCAAATTAAGTTAGTGGTATTAGCGTGTTCTTAGAAATATGAGGAACATGGGTTTCATAGAATAAGTATGGTTTGCAGATCTCATTAAATGTACGCTCTGCTATCTGATATGGATTCATGGTTAAGTTGTTATTATTTTATAGGTGTGCCTATTCGTGCTATTAACCGACCCGGGTCACAGCTTCTGGGGGCGAATGGCCGCGATGATGGACCTATTGTATGCTTTTCATCCCTTTTCAGTAATATTTCTTTGTTCTCATTGATTAGTCTGCTCTCTCTCAATTAATGTCAAGCTGTTCGTAATCTAGTATGCACCCATTACATTTTTTTTTTGGCAGATTACACCTTGTGTTAGAGATGGAATTAACAAGATATCCTTGAGTGGATGTGACTCCCGCAGTTTTTGTTTGGGTGTAAGACTTGTGAAGCGACGGACTCTCCAACAGGTACTTGTATTTACTGATTAGATGTTGCATGGGAAACATTAAAAACTTCAGTCAATGCGTGGGGACAATAAAAAAATTTGATTTTAAATATGGCATTGTTGTGCGTGACTGCGTGTAGAAGACATAGTGTGTGTATGCGAAGGAAGTTAATCTGAGTGAGGGTTACTCTATGGTTGCACTGAATGTTCTAGGTTGTTGACTTTGTTTCCTACTCCTGTTTTGACTACAATTTGTTGGCTATATATAGTTTTGAGATCTGTTCTCTTTGATCCTGAGCTGAGTCACTAAATGGCGTAATTGACTACAATTGGTTGGCTATATATTGTTTTCTTAAGTGTAGTCTGTTATTCTGTTGTGTTGTTAAATCGTTTTCCTTGTTCTTTCACTATATTCATCACTATTTCTACTGTTCTTAAATGCTCAGAACATTACGTATTTCGCTCTTGTGAGTTTCCTTTAAATGCACCCATATTTTTCATCTAGGTCTTAAACATGATTCCGGATGAAGATAAAGGTGAACCTTTTGAAGATGCTCTTGCGCGTGTACGCCGATGCATTGGAGGTGCAACTGGAAATGATGATGCCGACAGTGACAGTGATATTGAGGTTGTCGCAGATTTCTTTGGTGTCAATCTCCGGTGTCCTGTAAGTCGCTTTAGTGGATTATAGCTCTTTTTTAATTAGTTGTTGCAATCCAATAGTTTCTGTTTATCTCCTGACTCTCTGATGGCGTAGGCGTTTGTAGACTGATTAGTGTTACCTTTCTGTTGTGTAACTAGATGAGCGGCTCTAGGATGAAAGTTGCTGGGAGATTTAAACTCTGTGTGCACATGGGATGTTTTGACCTTGAGGTGTTTGTGGAGTTGAATCAACGTTCCAGAAAGGCAGGTATCCTATTGTACTCTAGATAATTGGGTTGTTCCCATTGTTTACTGAGTTTCTATGGTCTGCGGTTTGTTTAACTACAGTGGCAATGTCCTATTTGTCTGAAGAACTACTCTCTGGAGCATATAATCATAGATCCTTATTTTAACCGGATCACATCAAAGGTAAACTTTTATAGATGGTGGAATTCTTGATGATTTCTTGTTCTTATTGATTTCAGTACATTTATAAAGATTGTCTTCGCAGATGAGACATTGTGATGAAGAGTTGACTGAGATTGAAATGAAGCCTGATGGTTCTTGGCGTGTGAAGTTCAAAAGTGAAAGTGAGCGCAGGGAATTGGGGGAACTCTCACAATGGCACTTACCTGATGGTAGTCTCTTCTCCACAGTTGATGAGATTAAACCCAAGATGGAAATGCTAACACCGGTTAAACAAGAAGGTTGCTCAGATGGTCCAACCCCTTTAAAACTTGGAATAAGGAAGAATCGCAATGGTATTTGGGAAGTTAGCAAACCTAATATTAATGGTTTGTCTTCCAGTAATAGGCAAGAGAAGCTTGAGTATCAGGAGCATAATGTTATACCAATGAGCAGTAGTGCCACTGGAAGTGGTAGGGATGGTGATGACCCTAGCGTAAACCAGGACGCTGTTGGAACCTTTGATTTTGGAAACAATGGGATGGAGCTTGATTCTCTATCCATGAATGTAGATCCAAGCTACAACTTTATTGATAGGAATCATCAACCAGCAGCAACGAGTAATAATGAAGTCATCGTTTTAAGTGATTCTGATGAAGAAAATAATGTTGTAATCACTGGGGGTTCTGCCTACAATGAGAATCTAATTGATGGCGGGGTAAATTTTCCATTGCACCCACCTGTTATTAACTCGTATAGTGAAGACCCTCACACCGTGGCAGGGAACAATTCGGGCTTGGGTCTTTTCGCCAACATTGACGATGATTATGATATGCGCCTTTGGCAGTTTCCTTCGGAACCCCAAGGCGGACCCGGGTTCCAACTATTTGCATCTGATGCTGATGTATCAGATGGTTTAGTTGGCTTGGAGCCTGGTCCACTGGACTGTACCCCTGCAATAAGTAGTGGTTACACAATAGCTCCAGAGACATCATCGATGCCATCTGTTCCTATGTTTCCAGAATCGGTTGGACGATGCGAAGCAGATGCAAACTATGGATTAGTCGACAATCCTCTGGCATTTAGTAGAGAGGATCCCTCACTTCAAATATTTCTTCCAACAAGACCAGATACCTCAGCTCAGTCTGATTTAAGAAGTCAGGCCGAGGTGTCAAATGGAACCCCTAGTGACGATTGGATCTCTCTTAGGCTTGGTGATCACGGGGAGACAATTGGTGTAAACAGAGATAATGAAAACAACCCAGTGTCGACAAGGGATGGTACTCTGGATACCTTGTCACAGACTGGTTAGTTCCTCTGACTGAAATTGATTTTGCTTTCCTTTTTTTTCCTGAACCATCAAGGGTTCTTTAATACTTGCACCATTGCATTTAGATTTCCTTCACTTGTCTGGGCTGTTGGGTCTTGTACAGACAACTGAACAGGAGCGGTCTGAAATAACGAGTATTTGTTACTGACTATTATCTACTTATTTGCAGCGTCGTTGCTTCTGGGAATGAATGACAGTAGTAAGCAAGAGAAGGCAAGTAGACAAAGATCAGATAGTCCGCTTTCGTTTCCTCGGCAGAAGCGATCAGTAAGACCCCGGCTGTATCTCTCAATTGACTCAGATTCAGAATGACATGTGATTTATTTGTTTGGAATGATACCACCCATAAGTATAGCCTACCTCGACTTGTTTGTTTGTTTTGCGGGGGTGATTCGGTGTTCCTTTGATTCTTTTACATACGCATATAATGCACAGAAAAATCAAATGGATCATCATCAGAGCCAGAGATTGGGAAGTTTTGCTTGATTCTCTGTGCTTGGGCACCTTCAAGCTCTCATGCAAGGTAAAAAAAAGCCAAACCGAATCTTGACATCTCCGAAGCTAATACTGGCTCTCTGTGAATCTGAAGTTTCTGTGTTGTTGCAGGATGGTATTTGCAAAGAAGTAGACAGGTTTATATAAGTTAATGAAAGACGAAAGCATTTGATCAGTAATTGTATCTTCAATAGGTTTTTTTTTCCTTAAATGGTGGGGAAACGTCTGATAATTTATTAACCAAAGCTGTACTATGGTGAATTGGGCAAATAGAGGAAACAAACATTTGTAAATGTGGTCTCTTTTATATTTTTTTTTGTTTTGTTTAATAGAAAAACCAGCTTTCTTCTTCCTCTCAACTCTTCAAAACTTCCCTTTTGGAAATTGCAACATTATACGTAAAAGATATGAAATAGATTTAACATTATACATTATGTGTCTTAGAAGTCATAACCAATTGTTATTACTTGAAGTATGAAATATACATATCTTCTAACATCAAAAACTTTACTAAAAATGGAAAAAAAAAAAAAAAATGTTGATTTGAAAATGGTATAATAGAGCAATGTCAGTGGTATGGGTGAGTAAACAAATAACAAAGTGGTATACGGAACTAGATGGACCATGACTCATTTGCTCATATCTCTCTATTTCAATTTTCAATCCTTATCTCAATTATTTTCTATTTTTATAACTATTTAATCTCAATTAGAAAAAAAAAAAAGCCGTTTGGTAAATTAACACGAACACATACATTCTTCTTCTTCCTCGTGTCGCCGATCTTTCTTCTTTTAACTTACCGGTAATATCGAAGATGCAGAGGTTTTTCTCCGCCAAATCGATTCTCGGTTACGTCGTCAAGACGCGGAGGAGGTCGTTCTCTTCTCGTTCTTCGTGTCTCCTATTCGACGACACTCAGTTACAGGTTCTCTACCTTCTTCTCTCCATAAATCTGTGATTCTCGTTATGTGTATTTGCCATCTTCTCGTTTGAGCCGATAAAAATTGGTGTTTGGTATTTTCAAGTATAGCTTTCGACTTCTACTCTTGGATGATGTGCTGGGGTTTTCACATGTTAATCAAACATTCAATTTGAAATGATCTGAGAGATTTGTGTCAGTGAATTTGGTGATTCTGTGTTGTGAAGATTTTTAATTTGCCTTTCGTTTTATTTTTTTCTTGAATGCATTTGCGACCTTAATAGTTTTGTGACATTGTCTCTCTGGCTACATTGAAACTGCAGTTTAAAGAAAGTGTATCAAAGTTTGCGCAAGATATTATCGCTCCTCATGCAGAAAGAATTGATAAAACTAATTCATTTCCAAAGGTCTGTCTAACTTCTATGTTTTTTGTTGCTTATATATCTCATCAAAATCTAATCTTTCATACACTTTTTTTTTTTTTTTTAACTAGGATGTAAACTTATGGAAGCAAATGGGGGAGTTTAATCTCCATGGAATCACTGCACCAGGTAGATTTCTCTCCTATCATATGCTTCTGTTATTAGCTCAATCCTGTTTTGTTTTATGCCTAGAACGGGAAACTAAACGGATTAATCCGCTACTTGCAGAGGAATATGGAGGTCTAGGTCTTGGTTACTTGTATCATTGTATAGCAATGGAGGAAATCAGTCGGGCCTCGGGTTCAGTTGCTCTGTCTTATGGTGCTCATTCCAACCTTTGCATCAATCAATTGGTAAATATATGGCTCACAAACTATGTTGCAATATCTGAGGTTTTTTTTAGGCCAAGAGAAAATTTATAACTACTTCACAGGTGAGGAATGGAACTGCAGCTCAAAAGCAAAAGTATTTGCCAAAGGTATGGTCTCATCTTGAGCTTTTGTATCATGGTCTGAACTTACAATATTGTCACTGACATGTTAATGATTTATTATTCATTATCACCGGTGTTGGAAATCTCACCTTATTAGTGGTTTGATTATGAATGGAGGAAAGGCCGTTTTTCTATTTTCTTAATCTGTGAATTGTTGCATGCCTTCATTTGAAATCTCGTTAGAGTTTAGCTAACTAACGATTTTATGTTATGAAGCTTATCAGTGGAGAGCATGTTGGTGCTCTTGCAATGAGTGAACCCAATGGTAAGATACATATTGTTTGGATGAAGAGTTTGAGTGTGAGAAGGATAAACATCCTTACATTCATATAATGAATGGTTTATTCTATGTATACTGATTTTAGTTTTTAAATTCGTTACAGCCGGTTCAGATGTTGTCGGCATGAAATGCAAGGCTGAGAAGGTAGATGGTGGTTATATACTAAATGGCAACAAGATGTGGTGCACTAATGGTCCGTCTGCTGAAACACTGGTAATATAGTTTAGCTAAGATGTTAACTTCTGAAATTGATTTTAATTAGTTTTAACTGTTTTCTACCATTTTTTTTATGGTTTGATCAGGTTGTTTACGCGAAAACTGATACAAAAGCAGGTTCTAAAGGAATCACGGCTTTCATTATAGAGAAGGGAATGACCGGGTATGTGAATTCTCAATCTTGTTTAACAAAGTTGAAACTGACTTTCTATGATCTTTAGTGGAAAACTCAGAGAGTGAGTTCTTTAAATCAATTTGTAATTGTGGTGGCTTTGCAGATTCAGTACTGCTCAGAAATTGGACAAACTGGGAATGCGGGGAAGCGATACGTAATCTCTATTCTCTGAAGTTAAAAATATCTGTGTAAATTAAATCCCATTTTCACTGCCTCTTCTTCTCTGACATTTGTCTCTTCTGAGCAGGTGTGAGCTTGTTTTTGAGAATTGCTTTGTTCCAGAAGAAAACATTATTGACAAGGAAGGAAAAGGTTTTGATTTATGCAACTTCATCGTTTTTACTCTTATTCTCTAGTTTGATGGATAATATGCATTGCATGTTCTATTTTGTTTCTAGTAATATGATGATCTACTACCTGAGATCGAAATGTCAAGTATTGTAAGGGGATAATTAATTACCCGCTTGAAAATCACTACTTAATCTCGGATATATGTTTTGCTACATACACGCTTTGTACATATCTTTAGTCGAGGCTACAAGCCCCCTCTCTATACTTGTCTGATGTGCATAGGTTTTGTACGTGCAGGAGTGTATGTTCTGATGTCAGGTCTGGATTTGGAGAGACTTGTTTTATCAGCTGGGCCCTTAGGGATTATGCAGGCATGCCTAGACACCGTACTTCCCTATATTCGCCAGAGAGAACAGTTTGGTCGTCCAGTTGGAGAATTTCAGTTTATACAGGTTGATCTTTATCATCCTTCTCATAAACGTTTCCTAAGATCTCAACTTTGATCATAAGATTCTTAAAAACTTTCGGCTGGATTTCAGGGTAAAGTTGCTGATATGTACACTGCATTACAGTCTTCAAGGTAGAAAACTTCTCTCGATACTCTGGAATTTCTTTTTGTCTAACAGAAATGTATCTCAAGCAAAAATTTGTTCCTTTCGCATCTCAGGTCATACGTCTACTCTGTTGCGAGGGACTGTGACAATGGGAAAGTTGACCCAAAGGTACTTTGATAATAAATAATCATCCCTTCTCGTTTTCTGTTATGAAAATAGTCCTCTTACACCACCACCGCAACCTAATACATTAGCCTTAATGTGTATTTGCTTATCTTCTAGGATTGCGCTGGAACTATTCTTTGTGCGGCCGAGAGAGCAACGCAGGTCGCTTTACAGGTCAAGTACCCTTACTTTCCTTTATACTAGAATCGTAAACATTGAGTCCATTTCTGGACGAATGCATCAACTTAAAGTTACTGTCACATTACGAAAACCAGTTTTAAGCGTTGTCTCTTGTCTCTCTAATGGTTACCAGCAAAACAAATCTCGGAAGGGCTCATAACTACTCATATTGGGTATCTGTTTACCTTTCCTTTAAAACTAAAAGATTTGGTTTGATGTTGCAGGCGATACAATGTTTAGGCGGAAATGGGTACATAAACGAATATGCAACAGGACGCCTTCTAAGAGATGCGAAACTATATGAAATCGGAGCGGGGACAAGCGAGATCAGAAGGATTGTCATTGGTCGCGAGCTTTTCAAAGAACAATAGAGATAAGTCTATTTTCTGCTTTGCCAATGCGACATTTTCATTTTGTACAAGTATATATAATTCACAATGTCCTCAATAATCTCACAATAAGAAAAATAGCTTCAAACAAAATTTTGTTACTTTCGCACTAGAAAGTAGAAACCATATCAAACCGAATTTTACTATATTCGGTTTTAGTTTGGGGACATTTATTTGATACCATCATGCCATAACACTGACACTCATTTATTTGATTACATAAGCTCTAATCAAACTTCAGGCTAAACTTAGTAAAGGCAATCTCTAAATTCTTATCAATAATACCAACAATGTCTTCCCAATTTTCCATCAATCCTATCACCTTTCGGTTTGCTCTTGTATCGGTATCTCTTGTAAAATCGGTGGTTGTCCACCCGAAAATCTGAAATCATAAGCAACTTCTGACTGAACCGGACTTTCGCCAGAATCGATATCGCCATCGTTATTGTTATCGTTGTTGTCGGTTTCTGGTGTTTGTTCTTTCTTCCTCCTGTCTCTAACTATACCTTGCCATTGCCTTAACACATTTGCTAGTTGTTCTTCTAAGATTGCTCTCTTGTAGCTTGACCCCATCTAAACACATATATATGCATCCAAATCAAATTCAGATCACTAGGTTATACTTTCCATCAATAATTTGTATATTAATGCAAAACGAATAATTTAAAAAATGGTGTTATATATATGGACTTAATTACCTGAGTTACAATGGCATAAAGAGGCAGTGTTATGTAGCTGCTCAAGAACTGGACCGTCACCCTATAAATCATATACTTATTAGTTATATACTTAATTTATAATACAAAAACATAATTTCGTTTTTTCGTGACTCGAAAGAAAAATGTAATCAATTTTTGGAATATTAAAATAAATAAACTGTAGTGCTTACGCTAATACAAGTCTTGTGATTATGATCCCTCGGTTATCATGGTAGCAAGAGTTAATCCCAAATTGCCACTAATTTCATAATTCAAATTTTGAAATACATTAGATATAACAATTTCCTATATTATTATTATTTTTAATTCTTATAAATCCGTATATAAAAGACCTAAAAAGATAAACTTACAGTGACCCACAGAAAAAATGCCATCTCGAAGGTGTTCTGTATAAATATCATACCGAAATTCCATTTTATGTTAATTGTTTGTAAAATGTTGCAAACTATATGATGATTGATGAAGAAGCATTAGAAAAAACGACATGTAGTTTAGAAAAGATTACCAGAAACAGCGTGTAGTGTAGAATGCTTAAGAGGAAACGAGGATTG